AGATATATATATATATATATATATATATATATATATATATATGTGTATATATATATATATGTTACTTTATTTTTATTTATTTACTTTATAATATACATTGCTGTTTTTTTTAATGTTTTTTTGATGGACGTATCTTATGCTGACCAAGGCTGCATTTATTTGATCAAAAATACAGTAAAAAAAATAAAAAACCAGTAATATTGTGAAATATTATTACAATTTAAAATGACTTTTTTCTGTTTAAATATTTTTTTAAATATATTTTGTTCCTGTGATGGCAAAGCTGAATTTTCAGCAGCCATTACACCAGTCTTTAGTGTGATCGTTTAGAAATCATTCTAATATGCTGATTTTGTGCTCAAGAAACATTATCAGTGTTGCAAACATGAAAACTTTTTTTTTTTTGTGGAAACCATGTTACTTTTTTATGATTCTTTTATGTATAGGTTTACATTTTAAAATAACAGCATTTATTTGAAATAGAAATATTTTGTAACATTATAAATGTTTTTACAGTCCCTTTTGCTGAGTAAAAGTGTTGATTTAAAAAATCTTACTTACCCCAGTATATAATAATCATTTAAAATAATAATTTATGTATGCAAATATTTAAACCTGTCTCTGATCCTCTCTGCCCACTTCCTACACAGGAGTTGCTTGTAGGAACAACCAATCCAAACTGAGATGTTTTGATATATATTTAATTATATAAAATTAAAATTAAAATATATACAATTATAAAAGGGATTTAATGTGTGATCTATTTTGAGGAAACTTTTAAAAATCAAAACGCAAATCGTAATATGTTCTCCTTTCTCTTAAATCTGTTCCCTTTTGAATGCTGTTTGTTCATTCAGGAGCGTGCGTTTGGTGAACTGGAGAAGAACAGTGATAAACAGCCAGAAACAGACGGAGGCTCCATCACACTTCCACCACCTGCTGTCAGCCCTTCACAGACACTTGCTGGCCCACTGCTACATCCACACAGGCGCTGAGGTACAACAGTGACACATTTCCTGTTAAAACCCACTCCATATGATAGCTCCTGCCGGCTGCCAGTTGCAGTGGTTACGGATTGTAGTTTTAAGAAATGAAATACTGTTGTGTGAGCATGTTTAGTCAAAGATTCTTAATTCTTGTTCCAGAACCCAGAGGTGGAGGCGGTCTGCATAATAAGTGTTTTTAAAGAACAGATTTTGTGTGTTGTGTAGGATGACAGTAGCGTCGTGCTGCTCCATAAGCACCTGTGCCTGCTGCTGCCTTACGCAGCCGAAACCTTCAGGAGATCCACCATCCTTCTGGAGGAGAGCACACTGGACAAACACGTCATCAAGAAACTGCACAGTAAGAACACACATTATGCGCCATTCATCTGTCCATCTAACCATCCATGCATCTAGCCATCTGTCTGTTACTCCCTTCATTCATTCATCCATCCATCTAGAGTAGCTGTTCATATGTATGTAGCCATCCATGTGTCCATTCATCCTTCTGTCCATGCAACCATTCGTCCATCCATCCATCTATCCATTTATGGAGTAATCCATTTTCTGTATATTTGTTGATCCATCCACCCACCTATCCTTTAATTCAGTAAAGTACCCTTCCTTTCATCCATTCATCCATCCATCTATCTCTTTGTGTGTTTATCCATCCATCCCTTTGTCTATTTATGTAGCCATTTGTAGCCATCTATTAATCCATCAGTCCATCCATCCATCCATCCTTCCATGTAGCCATTCATAATCAGTCAGTCTATTCATCCATTCCTCCATTTATGTAGCCATCCATCCGTCTCTTCATCTGTTTATGTAGCCAGCCATCCACCCATCTCTATCTCTGTTTATTTATCTAACCATTCATCCATTTATCCATCAGTCCATCTGTTTCTCCATCCATCCCCCATCCATCAATCTTCCATCCATCCATGTAGCCATTCATAAACAGTCAATCCAATTATCCACCCCTCCATCCTCCCATCTATTTATGTAGCCATCCACCCATCCAGCCTTCTGTTCATCCTTCCCCTCCATCCATTTATGTAGTTTCCCATTCATCCATCCATCCATTAGTCCATCCTTCTCTCTTTCCACCCCAGCTTTGGCTCGTTATGTAGCCATCCATCCATCTGTCAATCCAACCATCCATTTGTCCACCCATCTCATCCGTCGGTCCATCCATCCCTTCATCTGTTTATGTAGCCATCCATCTATCCATCTGTCAGTCCATTCATCCATCCATTCCTCTGTCTATCCCTCTGTCCATCTGTTATTCCTCCATTTATCTTGCCATCCGTTCCTCCATCCATGGTAGCCATCCCATGATCCAACCAGACCAAGTATTGAGTTATATGTGTGTTTCTTTGTAGCTGTGCTGTTTGTTTCGGTGGCGGGCAGTCTTCTGTGTCAGGTGATGTACTCTCTGCTCCTGTTGCCATTGGCTGTGGTCAGACCCCTCCTTCCTCACCTGCTCACTCTGCTTGAACATCTCAACGAGCTCAACTGTTACCTGCCCAACACTGCGCACCTGGAAGACATGGAGCTGGAAGGAACCTCACAGGGTGAGGACCAGAATCATAAATTTAATTCTCGGAAAACGTTCAGGATACCTTAATGCATTGTTTGACATACGAACGATTCAAAAACAACTTATTCAATAACAAATGACAGATCATCAGTGTGACACGCTGTTAAGAAATTCAGAGATGGACACAGTACTTACTTCCTATTGCAGAAGCATCTGAAACCTCTGAGCCAATCACAGCGTCAGAGTCAGAAGACTGGGCATGGCTACTAGACCTGGAGAGGTCTGTGGCTCTTGCCATTGGTCGATGCCTGGGAGGTATGCTGCAGGGCCCGCCCCCTTCCATCCAGGAGAAGACAGCAGAGTTCTGGCTGTGTAACCCACTCCTGAAAAACGGGCTGGAGATAGACTTTGAACAACTGGGTAATGACTTAGCACCAGGAGGCAGCAGCTTTTTGTTTATGTTGTGTGGTGTGAACACACACATAAATACTCATCTGTGTTGTCCTATAGACTGGGCAATGGGTTGGCTGACTGAGGCTGTGTTCATGGGTTGCGGAGACGTGAGACTAGCCGAGCTGCGGCTGTCGGAAGATAACACAACGCTAGTGGACCTCGCTCTTGGCTCCCCACGAGAACCTGCCAGCGCCCTCTGGAGGAAAATGAAGGAGTTTGCGGAGAGTCAAGGTAAGAGGGAGGCAGGTTTTGGGCAGTGTATAGAATATGAAAAGAAGATAAAAAATATTTCAAGACATTTATTTACATACTCTTTTTTTAACATTTCTGTACCACTAGTGGCACCGAACACTTGCAAAAGTGGCTTTTGCACCAGAGGAACGTTTTCATAGTTCCTTCGTATAACCATTGATATAAATACATAGATGCCTCATTCGCGGCTGGAATGTGTATCTACCTATACATATCTATGCCTGGGAACTATTCACAGGAACTGGGAACGATTTCAGTTATTGGAAGCCTTTTGGGGGGACTAAATTAGCTCCTACTTCAGAGTAGAATGTAACCCAGCACAATAGGAACTACCAGTGACATATTTGTATGTTGATTGGCCAAATGCATGCCATATGAATCACTGCACCCGCCATTTTTAAAAAGCTGTGTAAACACACAGTTTACATTTACTTACTCCACAAACTCCACGAAAATGGAAAACCAATCAAGTATTGCAGAAAGCAACATAATAATCTCTGTTATCATGTACCTGTCTAAATATTGACCTTCACTTGTGTGTTTTTATGCAGACTGGGACAATAGTGGATCAGTGGGAGACTCTGTGTTAGAGACGGCGTGTCGCTGTAGTTTGGCCGCTCTACTCAAACATGCCGGCCTTAATGAAGCCTACTGGCAGGATAAGTGAGTGAGATCTACACCTCACCCGCATTCTCTCTTTTTACCTAGATCTCTTGAACACCTTTGTCTTCCCACGTCTCCCTTCTGTTATAGTGTAATGAACGCTTTAATTAGTTGACCCAGATTTAATGAATATATGCTCTATTTAAAGAATGATTCTATATGTGTATATTATAGTGTCAGTGCCTGTCTCTCTCTGTGCTGTGAGAAATCTCACATGATAAATTCCTCAGCCATAAAGACTCATGTGTGAGAGTGAGAGTTCAGTGAATATGAATTGACAGTCATGAATATCCAGATCAACCTTCTGCAGCAGCACACATCAACAGTCATATAAACTAATGAATATATGCTCTATGTAAAGGATGACACTGAAGACTGAAATAATAGCTGCTGAAAAGTCAGCTTTGTCATCACGGATAAATTACATTTGAAAATATATTTAAATAGATAGCAGTTATTTTAAATGGTAATAATTAGAGCCCAACCGATATGGGTTTTTTGGGACCGATACCGATATTAGGGAGCAAAAAAAGGCCGATATCGATATATCGGCCGATATTCTTTGTGTATATTATAGTACAGTACCAGTACTTTAATGCCCTTTGAATGTAACGTGTGCGTTCCCTTGGAACTGGAATCATGGCGGAATTTCATGTGAAGTCCACTTCGCAGGGCACTTACGGTCGAATAAGACCACGCTTGAATGCTTCTGCCTGAACAAGAAACCTCCTTACTGAAGTGAAAGTGTTGACTGGTGTCACTATCTCGCGAACGCGCCGGCGGATCTCCACCAAATTCGGGGGATCCCTTCAGCTCGAGGAGCCCTCTCGAACGCCACCCTCCGCGTGTCGATAATTCAAAGTTTCAATGGTTTTCCATAGACATAAGCTTTAAAGCGTTTCATCCAGGTCGCCAGTAGCAAACAATGGAGCGCTCTCTGCTGGACAAACTAAGTAATTACACCATTTCAAGCATTTTATCTGCGTTATATGTTCTGTAAAATAAATTTTAATATCGGCGGCATATTCGCCGATACCGATATATCGGTGACAGGCTCATATTGGCAAAACCATATATCGGTCGGGCTCTAGTAATAATCTTTCACAATATTACTGTTTTTACTGTATTTTTGATTGAAAAAAATGTAGCCTTGGTGAGCATAAGAGACTCCTTGCTTTATTTACTCCATTATGGCCTGTATCTAATGCACTTCTTTAGAAACACGCTAATGAACCTGGGAAGTTAGTCACTAATTTTTGCTACACTTAAAGACGAAATGAAGTGTAATAAAACATAATATAATTATATAATAAAATAACCTCCTCTACTTCTGAAACAATTTCTTTATGCTGATGTACTGTAACCAGGGACAAAGTAACATTTTCGTAAAATAATGTTTCGTCCTGACCAGGCTTCATTGGGCTCTCAGAGCCCCAGTGAGGAGAGGCAGGAAGTGGGCAGCTCAGGAGAGCAGACAGGAAGAGACACAGATCCCAGCAGCCAGACACCACATGCTGCTGAACACAACCAGGACGATCCCTTAGAGGAGGAGACGCCCAGCATCAGCAGTATGTACCTGCCGGGTAAACATGCTGCTTTCTGTGTTCTTCCCTCACAGAGCGAGTGTGTGCTTCTGTTGAACCATATACCAAAGTATAAAGGATTCTTTGTCTCAGAATGAGGTCTGTTCAACAGTCTTAGTGTTGTGGTGTTTAACCCACCTTTTTTTCAGCCACAGTTCTGGGATTTAATACTTAGTCATATATATCCTTCAGTTGATTCATTCAGTTACTCTTCACTTGTATTATAATATATGTATAAACATTGTCACACAGGATGTTTTTTGCTGATGTCTTTGCTGTTTTGTCACCGCTCTAAATAATTCAACTTTTAAATAGACATCTTGAGACACCTATTTTCTTATTTTCTTATATATAAACATTTAAGATTGTATGTTATCAATAGATCATGGTCAGTGATATTTTAATATCACTGATATATTATTATGGGTTTTGTTAATATTTTGAATTAGATTAAAATGTTATATTTTGGGTTTTAATTTAATTTCTGTTGTTTTTTAAAATTATGTAGTAGTTTTAGTTTTTATAGTTTATTTAATTTGAGTTATTTTAGTACTTAAACTTATTTTGCCAAGGCAACATTTCTCAATTTTAATTATTTTTTTTAATTATTATTTTATTATTTATTATTTTAATATTTTATTTAAAGTAATGAAAATGTTTTTATGGTTTTAGTTTTAATTAACAGTAATAACCAGGATCATGTTTGGGATTAATGTGACATTATTGGCTTTAAAAGACACTCCCTTTGGTGTTTTGTAATTGTGAACTATTTGTGTGTGTCCTCCTCCTTGCAGAGGTGCTGCAGTGTTTCCTGGCCACCCGTGAGGCCATGCAGCTCCAACAGAACGAGACTGTGTACGAGTCGTCTGGCACCAGCACATTGCCCAGCAGCACTGAGAGCCCTGGGACGCCAGACAGGGAGCCCCCTCAGCGGCCCTGGGACCACCACAGCACCACTGACCAGGGCCTGCCCTTCCCAGCAGCCTGCCACCTGCTGGTTTCACGCTGCCTCTTCCTGTTGCTGGGGGTTCGAGCTGCTTGGCAGGAGGAGAGTGTGTTGTCACAGACACCTACTGAGAGCAGCTTGGCCAGGTTTGTGTTGCGTGCAATTACAAAACATTTGCATGTGTGTGAAAAAATCTGAAGGTGATAAATATCTCTCACTACATAGATCTCCACCCTACAATGAGGCTTTAGGAACAAAGATGGATATACAGTCCTCTTCTGAGAGAAGTTTCAGTGAGAGGGAGGTATTTATGTTTCTCATGTTTCCCCCCAGTTTAATATCAATGAAAGTAATCTCTCGTTTGGGTCTTGTTGTTTGATTTTGTCATTTGTAATCTGTTTTGTCTTTCTTTTAAAGACACCAGATCAGTCTAAAAGCTCCTCAGGGACATTCAAGAATAAAATTGGTAAGGGGCATATGAAATAGCATATTACTTTATTATGTATCTGATCTCATGTGTCTGATCTCACACATATTGGATCTATTGCATGTTTCATCCCTAACATGACTGATGTCACCTGTCTGATCTCACTCATCTTTTGTTTCTAATTTCTCACGTGTCTCATCTTGCATATAACTAACATAACTGATCTCGCACATATCTGATCTCACATGTATGATTTCTCACATCTGATCTCAGATATCTAACATACCAGATTTTACGCATACTGGATTCGTTTCAACTTTCATCTTTAACCTGTCTGATATTTCACGTCTGATATCAAATGTCTGATCTCACGTTTCTGATTTCTAATGTGTCATCTCACATGTATCATCTAACATAATTGATCTCTCACATATCTGATCTCGCATAAAATATATGCATCTGATCTCACGTCGTATATCTTACATATCTGATCTTTGATTTTTTTACTTGTCTGATCTCACGGTTCAGCACAGTTCAGTTTCCTCTCACATGTCTCATCTACCCTTACTGATCTCTGACATATCAAATCTCATATGTATGTTCTCACATCTGATCTTGCATATCTGATCTCACACATTAGCTTTGTTACATTTTTGATCTTTTAAAGGTCTGATCTTGCATGTTAGATCTTTGACATCTGATGTGATGTACGATCTCTCATTTCTGATATCTCATGTCTGATTTTCACCTGTCTGATCTCACATATCTGATCTCTTTCATGTCTGATCTCACAGCTGCTTGATATCTTGCTTGCCTAATCTCACGTGATATCTCATGTCTGATCTGATTTCTGAAGTCTTACCGTATATATCACACGTCTGATCCCAAACATCTAATCTGATCTTGCATGTCTGATATCTCGCATTGTCTTTCTCTATCTCTTCTATTACATAAACTAGAATAATCAGTTTTAGTTAGCTTAACAATCACATCTCTGTGCTAATCAGTCTTGTTTCTTGCTAGGCCTTCCTCTCTGTTCTTTGGGCATCATGAAAGATGCCTGGGAGCGTCTGCGGCAGTGCATCAGTCCCACTACCGTGCTATGCCCAGGTGGAGGTGGCACACCCGTCCTGGGCCAGGTCTTCCATTTCCTTTGTGGGAGCCTCCACCGAACCTCTTCTCTGATGGACAAAGATGGAGTTGCAAATGTGGATCCCAAAGCCATCACCGTAGCCATGGCACAGCAACACCAAAGAGCTCAGGTGGGAAATCCATTGCAGATCCATTTTAGTTTCAATAACTAAACAACTAATAAATAAGCAGGCTATATTAAATGTGTAATGTTTTCACATAGTACTAATAAAGATGTAGAGACATTACAATTGTTTTCATCCCCTTCATCCAGGTGCGTTTGGAGGCCTTGTGTCAGATTTCCTCCTTTCTGTCAGAGATGGAGGAAAAGAACGTCAGCTCTCTGGTGCCTCCTCGTTTTCCAGGCCTCCTGCAGTCAGTGCAGCTGCAGTTCCTCTCTGGCTGCTTTGGTCTGGGTGCCCCAATCACCGGCAGTCTAGCGGCACCTAACAACAAGATTCACCATTACACCGTAAGACACGCTGAAAATGACATTTCCTCAAATACAAACCACAGATTTTTCCAACATATGCATGAATTTTTTTTTGGTGGTCTTGTGTTAGGCTAAGAAATTACATTTTTTGTATCTTGACTTGAACGTCACCCTTATAGGTTAAGCCTATATTCTTTTGAAGTATGTTTGAAATGTTGAATTTGTGTCTAGGGTGGGACTCAGTCGGCTCCTATCAGTATTCAGAGGGAGTTACAGTCTGCGGCTCACACACTGTACCAGCAACTGGTGCGTGTGCTCAGACAGAAGGTGGCATTAGAGAGAGAACAGGCTGGTGGGTAACGCTTCTCACTACTGCATGTAGCAAAAAACAATTAAAAAAAATAAAAAAATAAACCAATTAAACTTCTTTTTATTTTTTTTAATAGATGTTTTTTTTTCTTTTGGTAATTTTTAGGTTTATATACTTGTTTTTTTTATTACTTTTCATATTAATTATGTAAATGCATAATAAAAATTATGTAAATGGTATTTACATTTACATTTAAACTAAATATTTTGCAATTGAAATATTTTACTAATTTAATTTTACTTTATTTTTATTTATTATTATTCAATTTTTATTAATAATGAGTAGATAATATAAACCAGGGTAAATAATGTTAAGTAAAAAAAAAAAAAACTTTACAATGCATCTTAATGTTACTAAAAATAATAAACAATTTATACGGTACCTACTCTACTATGCACATGCACTTTTCATATCTTAGTTGGATAAACAAGGGGAAATGGTAATAATAGTGATGTTTAATTTATTAATTAATTTATTTTATTTTTTTAGTTTTACAATTTTAAACAGATTTTTTGTAATGTTACTATTACCCACTGATTCAAATAGACATTCATTTGTGATATTGCTTTGGGGTTCAAATTTAGTTTGACTGTATTTTTATAGCTTGGCAGAGTCCAAGTACTCTAATATTATGCCAGTTTAATTAAGTAGTGGATTAACATAGATTTGTCTCGTTTTAGGCTCTTATCAGCACCTGCTGTTAGCTACAGTCTTCACTCTGAACTTCCACTATCAGCCGGTGGATCTCGTGGTGATTATTAAATGTGGCGTCCTGGAGATCTTGTCCACACTGACTGATAACGCCTGTGTGCTGGTGAACCAGCGCTGGCTGGCCGCCTCCATGTCCGGTCACATGCAGCTCGGTGGGGCAGTGAAGCTGGCCGCTGCCAGACTCCTGCAGATATTTGCCATAGCGGCCAGGTGAGATTCTAAACTTGATAATTAAATACCGAACGAGAGAACGCCTCCCATGATATGCTCTGAAAACCTCACATTTTGAAAACTGATGCCTTAGATAGTCATGTTCAAAGCATTCTTCTTGCTACATCATAATTTTGATTTGATGTAACAGTTTTGCATATTAAAGAAACTCCAAAACTTTTCATTTCATATGGATGTTTTGGTATCAACAAACATCCCCTCTGCCAATAAGAGCAACAGTACCTGACTGCAGACAATCAAGGTTGTACAGCTGCAGTTAAATAAAACTGTGTGTTTGTATGTGTTTCTCCAGTTCCTGTGAAGATGCCTTGCCATTGGAAGTGTCCCAGGCTCTCATGGATGTAATGAGTGAGCAGCTGCAGGGATTGTTACATGTAGTCTACCAGCAGGAGGTGCTAGGGAGGGATTCCACAGAGCACATCCAAGAAGAAACATCTAAAAGTCAGTCATTACAACACAAGATTCAGCGTTTTTATATGTATAAACATACACACTAGTTGTAAATATTAAATTTAAACTAAATATTTTGTCAATTTTTTACTAATTGCTTTAATTAATTTTTACAACATTTTTATTTTATTCTCAATAATATGAGTAGGTAAAATACAGTCTTGATAATATTATCTAAATGTATATTATATATATGATCTAAATAGTCAAAATTATATATATTATCTAAATAGTCAAAATTGACCCTTGTTATCTTGTATTCTTATAAATAAGCTTATATGATACCAAAATATTAAATACCAGTAAAATTTTACAATTCTCGATTCCAATTTCAATGCCACAGCAAAAACTACTTGACTAACATAAAGTTCAAACATTAAAGACAAGTGAACAAGTGAGTTGTTTATTTGAAAATGGATGTCGGGAAGAAATTAGCGCTGCAAGCTGTTTGCTTGATGAAAAATTTTGCTCCATTTATTGTGTCCAAACTTTTTTTTAAGCCATGTTGCTGCTGTTGTTTTTCTTCCGGTGACTTCAACCCATGCCTTGCTCTCACATTGGCTGTAGCTCGTCACAACACCTGACACCACGTGATGTCGAGTCGGCCGACCGGTCCAGATATTTGGCATGCTATATGTTTGTTTGCCGTCGGCGAGGTGTCGGCGACGCGTCAGTGAGCCTCTTTTATGCGTCGTTTTGTAGTTCACACATAAAGATTGCCGAGCGCCGATCACCCCGCTGATTTTCCCCCGATCACAGCCCGACCTGTCGGCGAGCTCGTTAACTTGCAAATCGGGCTTAAATCAGGCTTAAAATCCTGTAGTGTGAACTAGGCATTAGGTTTTTAGGTATGTGTTCAGGTACATAATCTAATAATCAAATGTAAACTTTGCATATTCTTCACTGTATAAATTAAATATAGATCAATCCTTGTTAAAGCTACAAAAGTTATTCAGTCAAGAGCAGTGAGTGATTTTCTTTTTTGGGGGGGGGAATTAATATTAAGGACACCGACAGCAACTGGTAAATTAAGTGCGGTCACTTTAAGAGACAATGCATGAATACAGTGATACACATCTGGTTTCTTTCTCAACTTTTTAAGTTCACTTAAAGACATAACCAACTTTAAAATCTCTTGACTGTTCAAATTGGCAAGGTGTATTTGTCTGTTAAAGCAAGACGCGAAAGACAACTCAATTCGGTGTTTGTGCCTTGTCTGAGATGCTGTTCTCTGTGTGCACACAGAACAGCGAATTCAAATAAATAATCACTTGAATGTTTAAATTGGCAAGGCTTAAAAACACATGCAAATGATAAACTTTCGTGAAGACGCAGCAGTGGCCCGATTGGGCCAGTGACAAATCTGTCAATTGGCCGAGCGTCTTTTATGCTGGACACAGGCCTTTAGGCAGTCCTTATTATCGAGCCCTGTATACATGTACACTACTGTTCAAAATTTTGAATATTAGAATCATTTCTGAAGGATCATGTGACATGGAAGTCTAGAGTAATGGCTGATGAAAATTCAGCTTTGTCATTACAGGAATCAATTACATTTTAAAATATATTCAAATAGAAAAGAGTTATTTTAAATGGTAGTAATATTTTAAAATGTTATTTATTTATTTTTTTTACTGTTTACTGTTATATTATGAATTCTATTCTATTCTGAATTATTTTATATTATACTTTTTTTGTTTTATTTTAGGTGCAGATGTAGTTCGTAGCAGCAGGGTTGTGGAGTCCCAGCTCGCTGACTTTCTAGTCTTCCTAAGACGCATTTTGTCACTAAGGGTCGCCAAAAGAGTCTCAGCATTTGTGAAGTGGATTGATCCACTGATGACAATTATATCATACAAATGCAGCTCTGGAAATTCACGCTTTCACAACCTGCGGACGAAGCTGCTGGCCTTCCATATTTTGGAAGCTCTTCTTCCTGCCTGTTCAGACCCTGTTGTCATGAAACAAGTGAGAAAATAAGTGGTTTTTTTTCTTTTTAATGCTGTTCACCTGACACTAAATGATTGATGGTTGATTGATTCTGACTTAATAAGAGTTTACCATGTAATTTTTGTTTTATTTCAGATTGTCGATCAATTATTTAGCCTTTTGTCCACATACATGTGGGAAGAACCTCTGGCCCTGAGAAAAAACTTAGAAAAAGAGAGAACTTCAGAGAACTCAAATAGGGTATTTAAACTCATCTCTGTCTGTCCATTGTACAAATTTTACCCAATCGTATTTGTCTATGCATTTTAGATGCATGTTTTATGTGTGCTTATGTGTCTTTCAGGACAGTGGAAGTGAAGATGAATGTATTCCTATTGGTGATTTCTCTTTTGACCCACATAAACTGATCTGTTGTTCTCTGGAGAGCGGGAATGTACTCTCTCATGGATCGGGAGGAAAAGGGTACGGTTTGGCCACCACCGCCATCACATCTGGATGCTTCATCTGGAAGGTAATGATACAAAATACAGTCACTGGTATCCCTGGTCTTTTACAGGGTGTGCATTCTAATGTTTTTTGTCTCCATATTTTAGTTTTATATTACTAAGGAGAACAGGGGAAATGAAGGGACATGTATCGGAGTGTCCCGATGGCCCATCCGGGACTACAACCATCGCACCACCACAGACATGTGGCTGTACCGGGCCTACAGCGGTAGCCTGTATCATGGAGGAGAGCTAGGCCGAGCTCTGCCCTCCTTCACCCAGGGTGACACCATCACCTGCATCCTAGATATGGAGGCTAGAACAATTTCCTTTGCCAAAAACAACAGGGTCAGTGTGTGTTTATGACCTTAGATTGAACTCTTTTCCTGTTACATCCGCTGGTTTCACCTTTGGTTCTGCAAATGATTGTTTATTTTAATTAAAAAAAATTTTTTTACATTGGCAAAGTGATTACTATTTTACAACACAAATTCAGTGATATATTAATTCATAAGTTAAATCTGTGATCTATTTTAAAATAGAAAAATTATGTTATCAGAAGTAACAAAAATTATGTTATTGGAAATAAAAAACATTATATATTAGAGTAAGGAAAACCACACTGGAATTTCCTTTTGAACCAGATACTGAAGCTGTCACATGGTTTTCAGCTCCGATACAGTGCTTTTAACGTGGTGTTCTTTTGACTCGAGCTTCGAGCTTCTGTGTTTAACATAACATATTGATTATGATTATTGTCAAATAAAGAATTAATTGATTTATAAGCCTAGTAGAACATTTAAAGTTGGAATAAAAAGAAAATTAAAAGAGTTTGATTATTTTAATAGACATTTTAATAAATGTGTAAATAATTTAAGGAAAATGTTTTTGCATTGGTTGGAAAAATGTCGATATAGTTAATACTAAGAAAAATAATACTCAATATAATCCCAAAAGATTAGTACATGTAGTACATTATTTCTTGCTGAATATTCTGTTTAACTTTGAAGTATTATGATTATTGTGAAGTTATGCACCTTTAAAATTGTATTTGTATAAGTTTTTTTTTTATGTGACAATGTGAAATGCATTTCCAAACAAACTTTAAAAATATATTAGGCTAAGTGCAAGTTAAGCTGTATTCGCATTGAAAATTATTTTCTAACAATAAAATAATAATGTAAAAACAGTAATGAACCTAAAATAGAAATATATGGGTTAAACTGAAAAAATGAGTTGTTTGTGTTGTTTTTATGCGTGTGTAGGAGCCCAAACTAGCGTTTGAAGGAGTGGATGCCACAGAGCTCTACCCCTGTGTTCTTTTCTACAGCAGCAACCCAGGAGAAAAGGTCAGCCTCTTAAAGCTCTACACCATTGGGTCTATTGTATTGAATTTATACAATTACATAATGTATTATAATTCAACTTTCAAAAACCTCCTGTTCTTCGATTGACCTTTAGGTGGCGCTGTGTGACCTGCAGATGCGTGGCATGCCTAGCGATCTTCTCCCAGGGGAGCCCTTGTGCAGCCCAAGGGCCACGGTTCTGCTGGAGTCCACCATTCAGCTGCTGAGACAACTGTACATGAACGATGACTGGGTTCAACATATCAACCAGCACATGCTGAACAGACTACAGCTCATCAACCCTCTCATGAGGGAGGGACAAGGCAAGATAGGTCAGTTAACTTGTCTGCTAAAACAGTTTATTTGTTTACACATATTATATATAGTCTATATATTAGTCTATATATTTGGGTGGCATCATTGCAATTAATCAGTTTGAAAATGTTTTTGACCTTGTCTGTTAGCTTTACTGTGTTATAGAAATGCTACAATAGATAAAAGCTTGAAATAAACTAGGTATTTAAAATACTGAAAAAAATCGAAATGCATTTAAATATATTCTAAATACATTTATAAACTTTTAAAACATATTTTTCTGGACTTAAAATGTTGATTACTTGTCTTGTTTGCAGGAGTGTATACAATTTTGAATTTTTCCCTTTACTTATTTTTTTAGAAAAGGCCTTTTGTAATAGGTCAGTTTGCCAACTGTGTTTTAAAGGTTAATGTATTTTGTCCTCTGCCAGCAGGTCATGCTAGTAAGGAGTTCGATGAGAAATGTGGGGTGAACAGAGAGAGGGGCTTTGCTTGGGTAGATGTCGGGACGTCGACAGACCACCTCTCTGGCCCAGCGGGGCTCTCTGACGGCCAGCTCAATATGCTGTGCACTGAAGTCTGGCCTGTCATGGCCCTCATCGGAGGGGTGGACAGCGGTCTCCGTGCTGGAGGGACCTGCCTGCACAAACCCAGTGGTCGACGGGCGACCCTGCTCGGGGTCTTGAAAGAGGGAAGCCCCCTGGCTAAGCTTCAGTGGGAGGAGACAGATTTTACTGTGAGGTAAGTACACAAATGCACATATACAGTATACAGTACTCTTACGGACAGTCAAATAAATGCAAGATTAAAATGATTGCATTTAATATTTAAATTTCCATTTTATTATAAAATAAGGAAAAAAATGATTGAAAATAAGATGCTTAAAATAAAATAAACTAATGAAATAAAATGGTTGAAAATAAAATGATAAAATTCCACCTATTTCATTTTAAATGTTGTCATGCAGTTCATAGTAAAAACGCTCAATGTTTCTAATGTTTTAGAGCAAAGGGTTCAAACTGGGGTGTTTGAGAGTCTGCAAAAAAAAAGAAAAAAAACTTCAAAATGTATTTTATATGTTGTCAACAACATTAAGTTCACATGTTAGTTTAAGATATGAATAAAATATATTTAAGACTAATTTTTAATGCATTTACTGAATTTGATATTATTTGGCTGTTAAAATTTGAAACTTGTACACAGTATTTCATTGTATTATTTTAATAATTTATTATTAATTGTATTATAATTTATTACTTATAATGTAAACATTTACATCTCTAGTTTTAAATAGTAAGTATATATATATATTAGGGATGGGTCACGATTTTCGAATATTCGATTAGTTGATTTAATTCTAGAATATCGAATATGTTGTGCGATTATTGTCATAAAAAATGTTCCCATGTTTTCCCTGCTGATGCGGTGGTAACGCGTTCATGTGGCGCTGCCAGTAACGACCTAAAAGCTGTCAAAGACAACAGAAGAACACACTGTCTCACGCGCACACTGTAGACTTGTATGGCATAAAAAAAGACTTGTGTAGCATATAATGGTTACAGTAATTTGGGACGATGTCAAATAAGAGCTCTGTGTGGACCACAGAGTTGCTAACGTTAGCCTGTTACATTACAGTACATAACATTTCACTTACCACATAAACAGAGTAAGGAGAGATGACTGAGAGGATGATGGGGAATGATTTGCAGATCCTGAGCACCACTGACAAACATCTAATCTTGTAAAATGTGTGGTAATACTGCCGAGTGCTGTATTACCACACATTTGATCGCGAATCTCGAAAGTGAAAGTAAAAAACAAGCGCGGGGTGATATTTCAATTCCCCGCATATTAATAATGACTCCTTGATGCCCGCAGTTTACATACAGTATAATTACCCAACGATATAATTGCGACAGAAGATACTGAAGTATATTTTTCCTCCCATCTCATATCTATTCCCTTAGGGATTCAGTTTTTTTAAATGGAAATGTCCTAGCCTTATGAGCAGTTGATTTATGCTAATCGACGGACTGTTATGTTAATAAGTGCCATCATTCAGTTATGTTTATTATATTAATATGTTTCAGCACGTTACGATCAATAAATGGCTTGAGTTAATAGCCTATCTTCTGAATTAAACAGTTTATCATACAGATTGAAAGTGTGAATCCCGTCTCTCTCAGTGTATGCATGTTTGTGCGTGCATGCGGGGGAGGGGTGCAATTTTCAAATAATGATCGAATAATACCCTGCGATTTTCGAATATTATTTTTAGTGACAGACCGATATTGATTTTTTATAACCGATACCAATTATTTACATGTTCATGTGCCCGATAACCGATATGCAGAACCGATATTTATTTACTGTTATAAAGTAAATAAATGACTTAGTGAAGAACATACTTCCCTTTGGTTTTTCCTCTTTTTAGTCATCTTTTTTTTTTTTTTAAGTGTTGAAAATTAGAGGGCTTTCATGTTAAATTTAATCTTCAT